CAGAGGGTAAGGGGAAGGGCAGTGGTCGATGAGGGTAAAAAGGGTCAAATATATGGTGATGGAAGGAGAACTGACTCTGGGTGGTGAACACACAATGTGATATATAGATGATATAATACAGGATTGTACACCTGAAATCTATGTAACTTTGCTAACAATTGTTACCCCAATAAACTTTAATTAAAAAAGAAAGAAAGAAAGAAAGAAAGAAAGAAAGAAAGAAAGAAAGAAAGAAAGGAAGAAAGTAAAAAAGAAAGAAAGAAAGAAAGAAAACGTTCTCCAGGTGTTTAAGGATGGATGGAGGTTATTGCAAGCAGAGGAAACTGCTCTCAGTCTGCCTGGATGTGAGAGGGTTAGTACTGCAAGTTTGTGGGGATTGACAGACTCGGTGTGGGCCAGGTGAAGCTGGTGGAGTGTAGAGTGGATGTGGTGAGCAGAATGAGAGGATGCCGGCTGGAGCGGAGGGCCGTGGTAGGCGAAAGGACTTGACGCCAAGGTAAGAGATTGAAAAGTTTATCATGTAGGCAGTGGCACTCTGCCATCCCGGTGGGAGGACGCTAGGATTTCTGTGCCTGGAGCCTGGAGGATGGGCCACAGCCCCTCCCGCCACCTCAGGCGCTCCTTGGCTGCCCAGGGGCCTTTCACCCCTTCTAACTTCCACTCCTTCTAAGCCCCAAGGCCAGAGGGGGGAATGTGCGCGATCTTCACTCTTCCAGCGCTGCTGTTTGCCTTGTTATTTGTCTGTGGCACCCATGAGCAGCTCCAGCCTTTCTCTAGTACCAGCACCACATAAAGTGATGACAGCTGCCATCCTTGTCTCTTTCAGAGGGGACACTTTCAAGATCCAGTGTGACTCCAGTATTGGAATATGGAGGAGGAAGGATGCCCCTAGGGTTGCTGACAACTTGGTCAGAGGACTGAGTGACCTTCAGGTGGTGGTGGACGTCCCTTAGAAGCAGTGGGCAATGCTGGACCTGCTCAGAAAATCTTGTGCAGAGACGATATGCTGGAGAACTTTGCAAACCCGGCCTCAGTGAGGTATCATCTCAGGAAGCCCAGCTGCTCATCTAGGCTCAGCAGGAAGAGCTGAGACCAGAGGAGAGACAAATTCCCCCAGACACCTGTGCCGACCAGAAATCTCAATTTAAAACCAAAAAGACCATAGTAAAGCAGAATAAACCTTGGGGAAAACCTTCTACTGGCAGGAAAAGATGCAGACTTTCTGTGGGGGAGAATCCCCCATGGAAATGAAAGTGAGAAAGCCTGTAGCTACCACTTATCCTTAACAGACACCACCTCAACCTGGAGAGAAACCCCGGGATTATAACCTATGTTAGAATTCCTTCCATCAGAAGGAATTCTAACCATATTATACCCATGAGAAATGACCCAGGAGAGAAATGCAAAGAATATAAAGAACGTGGGAAAGCGTTTTGTTATCCTTCATCCCTTAGGATCCATGTGCAACCTCATGCTGATGAGAAATGCTACAGTTTTTTATTATTCTTAAAATTTTAATTAAATTTTAAAAATTAAATTTATTGGGGTGACATCAGTTAGTAAAATTATATAGGTTTCACGTGTGCATTTTTATAATACATCACCATATATTTGACCCCCTTTTTCCTCTTCTACCATCCCCTCTCCCCCCTTACCCTCTGGTAACCACAAAACTGTTGTCTGTGTCTATGAGTTTTTGTTTCTTTGCCATTCATTTGTTGCTTTCAGTTTTATATGCCACATATAAGTGACTCCATATGGTTCTTGACTTTTTCTGTTTGAGTTGTTTCACTTAGCATGATCTTAAGATCCATCTGTGTTGTCGCAAATGGCAGTAGTTCATCTTTTCTTATGGCTGAGTAATTATCCATTGTATATATACCACATCTTTATCCGGTCATCTATCGAAGGACACTTAGGTTATTTCTATGTCTTGGCCACCATGCATAATGCTGCAATGAACATAGGGGCACATATATCTTTACGGATAAATGTTTTCAGATTTTGGGGGTATATACCCAGAATATGGATTGTTGGGTTGTATGGTAATTCTGTTCTTTTTTTTTTTTTTACACTTTATTGGAGAACAGTGTGTTTTTCCAGGACCCATCAGCTCCAAGTCAAGTCGTTGTTTTCAATCTAGTTGTGGAGGGCGCAGCTGATCTCCAAGTCAAGTCATTGTTTTCAATCTGGTTGTGGCAGGCACAGCTGAGCTCCAAGTCAAACAGCAGTTTTCAATCTATTATAGAGGGCGCAGCTCACTGGCCTGTGTGGGAATCACACTGGCAACCTTGGTGTTATATGAGCACTGCATTCTAACCAACTGAGCCAACCGGCACCCTGGTAATTCTGTTCTTAATTTTTTGAGGAAACTCCATACTGTTTTCCATAGTGGCTGTACAATTTACACTCCTCCCAGCAGTGTATGAAGGTTTCTTTTCCTCCACAGCCTCTCCACACTTGTTATTACTTTTGAAAATTTCTATTTTGATGGATGGGGCAATCCCCAATGGCCTTTTTAGAAACTACAAAGAGCTCTGTCAGGGCAGGGGCAGGGGAGGGGCTAGCAGCCCTGGGCTATGAAATTAGTCCTGGAAGGCTACATCTTCAGTGGCCATGAGGGACTGCCTGTTGAGGTGCAGTGAGGGTGCCTCTCCTGTGAAGTCCTTGTTGAAGTTGCTCACATGGGTGCACCCTGACAGTGTGGGTATGAAGTGTGGTGTCACAGAGCAGAGCGTCCCAGCCATGTATTCTGAAAATAGGGTGTTTTTTTTTTTTCCCCATATTTTCTGCATTTCTCTTGCTGGACTCTAAGCAGGGGAGTGTCCTCCTCATATCTCAGTTTGGAAACATCACATTCTAAAAGATGAACCAGTTTCCTTTGCCTAAAATTATGGTATTAAAAATAGATGTTTTTCTTATTATCGTCTTCAAATGTTAGGAATGTCTTGGAGATGCCGTGTAACACCACCTACAGGCATAGAGTTTTATGTTTTATTTTAAAAGAACCCAGGTTGGGAAAAAGAGGTAAAGTTACTCCTGTATCAGTTTCCTGAGTAATTGGTATAGGGAAATACAATAATATTGCTGGAAGCAAAGCAATGTGTTGCATCACATATACTTAAATTCATGTCTTTAAAGAATTAATAAAAGAAAAAAATTTGAGATTCTTAGGTGTTGAGTAAGTCAGAAGAGGATTTTCTAGTTTTCTTAAGGGATATTTTATGCAATTTAGGCATAAATCAAGGTCCAAATTTTGTTGGTAACCCAGTTGTTTGGAAAGTAGATTTTTTTTATCATAAAAATTGATATGATTAAACTTGAAGAGAAGTGCACAGAAGTTTAATTCATAGTATAACTGAAGTTAGAATGCTTTTGGATGACATTCAAGCTAATTTAAGCAAAAAAGTGGTGATAGTGGTGGGGGGATGTGGATTTAATGGCTCCCAATCTCTGCCAGAGCAGAGACCATATTGTCTTGATAGTTGTTGCAACTCGAGTGCCTAGCACAGTCCTTTCTTAACATTTCTGTTATCTGCCTCTTCTTGTGTTGGGTCATTCTTTCAGACCAGCTCATCTTTGTGACTGGAAACTTGGTCATGTGGAAGGTTTATGTTCACATCTCTCAGGCTTTGCATTAAACACAATCAGTCTGTTCGAGTAGAATTGAAACCCGAAGGGAAAAATGTTCTGATGGGCCCAGCTGGAATTCGGAGCCTGCTATTAGAACAATCCTCCATGGCAGGTAGAATCATGCACGAATGTGGAAGTCCCATTGGAACTGTGTGGCTGGAATGAGGGAAGGGGGCTTTTGCCAGTTGTATACTCTGCAGACTTGATCATCTTTTATGAGAAAGGCGTTATCTGAAATAATGGGTTGTAAAAAGAAAAAGCAGATGTTCCCTGTTTTTAAAGTCTGTGTTCTTTATGATGATTCACGATGACAAGATCTGAGGGACAAAAGCCTTCAGATATGCAAAAGAACACTAAAATGAATACATGTTATTATGGTGAAAACACACAAGAAAGAAAAGTATAGGAGAATAAATGAGAAGTAATGAGAAAACGGTTCCCAAGGTATATGTGGTGGTAGGTTTTAAAGAGAAATGTTATTTCATTCAGTCAAATATTTGTACCCTTGTTGAGTAGCTACTGTGTGCCAGGTATTGTGAATGGATCATATTTAGGTCAGTAAAATCTGCAAGGCAGAGGTTTTGCCCGAAACAAGCTGGAATCCACCTGGGTGAAACTGACTCATATGCAATCATGCATATAATACCAGAAAAGGGAGAACAAAATTTACTTAGAGCTTCCCTACAGCAATGCAGAGCTTCCCATAGACAATGTTTAATCAAGTTAGTGGCAGTAAGGTTGGTGTTAGGAATTCCTCTTCTCATTTTCATCAGCTCTCTAGCCTCATCCAATCAATGATGTAGCTGTGGATCCTCATATGTATGTTGAATGTGCACTAGACAGTAACAAATTTTTCAATCTTTTTGTTTTGTTTTGAAAAATTTCTTACCTCTAAGCCCCTGAGGGCTATTTCTTTATCTATTTCCCTCTCTCTCTCTCTATCTCTCTGTCTTTGTCTCTCTGTCTTCCTCAGTCTCTCTATCTTTCACATACACACTTCCAAGGTGTTTCTGATATACCCAGCTATGGGGCTAAATGATCCAGAAGAACCCATTATTGCCTGTATTTTCTACATCTTACTTTAAGTCACGTGCATAAAGAGTTCCCTTGTTTTTTTTAAAGCCATATTGTTGCAACTTGGCTTAAGAAAAGGCCAGAATGAGAGGGAAAATTTAGTCAAGTTCCACTTCTGCCCATGTAACAATTCAGTAAGAAATTGTGCTTCTATTGTATTGATCCTACGTGAGCGATTTCCTAAATATTATATAAATATGAAAAGTTCTGTTGCACATACGTCAAATGAACAAAAGCCAGAGAATATGTTTTGTTTTCCTCATGTGTGTTTCTTCTATTTTTGAACACCTTAGGTTGGAAATACCTCTTCAGGCTTGCCTTCTGTAAATCGTTCAGTACAGAAACCTTATTGCAAAGGTGGAAGAACTGCTCAGCGAACCCTGTAAGTCTGATACTCCCCAACCGGAAGAAACGCTTTTGAAGGTTAGTCATGGAATACATTTCATTCTTTATACATTTCAGTCTTTCACTTATGTCTTTGCTGTTTGCCAAGTGCCTACTATGTGCACTGCTCTGAACATTGAGGGGGTACAAAGTTGAAGAAGACATGGGCACTGTAACTGGTTGGTAAAGTCTAGTTTTCTTGCTGGTTCTGATGTTGGAGGTAAGTTTTTCACTAAAAAAAGTTATGTGAGAAGTTAAATGTAAAGCCAGTTTTCTTAATTGAGGTAACATTGACATATAACGTTATACTAGTTTCAGGTATATGACATAAAAGTTCAATATTTGTATATATTGCAAAATGATCACCACAGAAAGTCCAGGTAACATCCAGTCTTCTTAATTATTAGGCCAACAGGCAATAAAGCCAGTTCTGCTGCACAGGCTTTCCCAGTTTGTCTTCCACTGGGGAGGAAGAAGTCTCCTGAATGGTCTTCCCTCCACAGAGGGAGAAGTGATCTGGGGGAGGCCTGCCTTGCCTCACGTCTCAACACGCTGTTGGCCTAGGATTGGACTATGCAAACTTCAAGTGCTACTTGGGTAATTGGGTGTTGACTAGACTAGACTAAGCGGAATAAAAGAAAGGGGACTGGGCTCTCTCTTTTCCTTTGAAGTTCAGGTTCAAACACCAGCCTAACCCACCCTTAGGAGCCCTTAGAACTGATGGACGTCCTCACCTTCCTTGACCCTCAGCATGGACCCTCAGCATGCTTGTCTGCTGAGAAGGAGCATCTTCGGAGGAAGCACCATCTATCTGCTGGTGGTAGAATGGCTGCCATTAGGTCTCAGCAGTAGACACCTAATTGGGAATCAGTAAAGCTCCAGAAGTTGGCTTCTTCCCTGTGTGTCTTCAGGCGGCCTCATATCAGGACCCTATCTGTGAAGTTAAGTAGCTCTATAGTTATAAAATTTGCAGTGACTAGGTTTCCTGAGCTTGACCTGAGCTTCAGAGCTGTAGCAGGATAGGATGCCTGGAAGAAAATGAATACATTTCTCTTCATTGGCATGTTTGAGTATGTGACAGGAGAAATTCCTGTATAGAGTGAGTGGCTAGACTAGATAGGGTCATTGAAGTATGCTCGAAGTCAACGATTCTATTGCAGTCATTATTCAGGTGGTTAAAAGTATATACTGCCCATCCGTTGAAGGCTTGTGTCTTAATCAGGCTTGTATCTATCTAGTGTATTTATAACAGGCCTAAAACAGGTGTACCTCTAGAAAGGGGTATGCAAGGAGAGGGGAATCATAACACTTGAAAAACTTTTTTTTTCCCTACCCCCCTCACTGCAACGAGGACCTCAATCCTTGTATTTTAAACCCTCTTGACTGCTGTTTGCCTCAGTGCCATTTCTATGTAGCTGGTTAGAAATGCAGACTTTGTTTTAACAAAGCGAAAAAGAGGTCTTGGAAATACTTTCATGTTTCTGTTACAGATATAAACTGTTAAAAATTGTAAGCTGCTAAGCAATGCTGAATTTTGCTGTTTTGATGAAAATGTGGTTCCCACAGGGAAACAATGCCTTATTCATCACCTTTTTTCCCTTATGTTCTCTCGGGGCGGCCAGCATAGCAGATTATCAAAATCTTGATTTTGGTTTTGAACTTGAGGATGTACAAATGAATCCCCTTGTTGTTTCCTCAGGTGATTTTAGAGGTCAAATAATCTATTAGTGGCTAGCCAAAACCAAAAGGGTAAATAATTGAAAATTAACAAGAAAAGGGGAAAAGCTAATGACGTTTCACTTAGCTGTCTTCTGAGACCTACTTAACCAAAGCACTCATACAGCAGATTTGAATGATATTAAGTATTATATAATTAAAATGTTGTCCAGAAACTGCTTCTCCATTTCGGTTTGATTAAGAGCTAAATTCATATGCAAAGCATTTATCAAAAAACTATTATATGCTAGCTCCTACACATGTATTACTTATAGTAAATACTCAGAGATAGGATTCAATGACCATATCTTGCAGATAAAGTCACCAAGGCTTAGAGAGGTACTGAACCTAAATTTTCATAGCTAGAGCCAGGCATAGAGCCCCAGGTCTACCTTCACTACAAAACCCATGTTCTTTCAGAATATCAAAACAACCTGTCTTTGGGTAAACATGGTTCCCTTCACATCAAATGCATGCCAAGATTTTTAAAGAATATTAGGGGCTTCCCGAAAAATCCCTTGAGCATATGATTATGTGGGGTGGTAGAATGATGGGAAAGACAAGAGAGAAGAGTGCTGGCAAGAAAGTTGGTTCTATTCTAAATATTCAAGGTTAGGGGTGTAAGTGGGTCAGTCTAATACTTTTAGCTTTCCTCCTTGCCTCTTTAAACTCCATAGATTTTTAGACAGAACAAATAAAATTTCCAAAAACAAAACTAAGTATATTGGTTCAATTTGTTGGTGTTAAATCCTATTCATACATTTAATGATGTTTTTTGTTCACTTTGGCTTATTCGGCTTATTCTGCTAAATGAGGTTCTTTACAGTCTGTTACTTAGTTGTTTTAGGAGTAATAGAATTTGCTATTTTGTTTTCCAAATTGTACACTTGTCCTAATGGTAGTGGTGATTATGGTGATGGTGAGCTGTGTGTGTGTGTGTGTGTGTGTGTGTGTGTGTTGGGACATAGTTAAGGTTACAACATTTCTCCTGAAACTTAAAGGCTTTGGAACTACATATAAGTAGAGTTTATGGCTACCTGTGTAATGTGAGGTATTGAAAGAAAATATTTGGAAAATAATTTTTCTTTTAAATCTAGACCAGTACTTATGGAGGTTTGTTATTATTAATCTTTCTCCCATAATTGGGGGTGTTGTAGGTAGGTGTGGGCCAAAAAGATTGGCACGGTGGTATAGACTCAATTGAACATTGCTGAGTCAAAAGCTAAAAAAGGCATGGAAACAGAACTGCATACCTTGGAGCAGAGCTAGTTGGAGTTAGTTCCAAGTTCCAGATAAAGTCAGAAGCTAAGAAATCTGTGACCCCTGACCAACTGGTAATTTGACTCTATCCTATAAAAATATTACTGGGAGGCTTATAGGGACAAGGGTACAGTGAAGACAGCAAAAAGGGTTCATGGCGCCCACATCTAAGATAAGAAAGCCTTTAATACTTAACTGGTTTTGACCGTCTTTATACTCCTCCGGCCTAGTGTGAGCCAATCCAGAATGAGTCTGGCTTGGAGACTTATTAGTGCTAAGATTAAACTTCTTGCTAATTTTAAGTAGGATTAGGGAAGAGGGTTTTGGTTTTCATCAGAGCCATTTCTGAAGCCTGCAGACCTAATGTAGTGCTTCAGAATGTTTTCAAGAGAATACCCTTTTTCAAGTTCAATTACAGCCTGTAAACTACCTTTTCTGAGGGAGGTCCTCAACATTTTTATGAGGAAGGTTTTCCTTTTTCAAATCTCATGTCACCAAAAAAGTGGGGGAGTGGAAAGCAGATGCAGAAGCTAAAGACAGAAAGGATTGTTACCTGGGAGTCAGGTTACCTGGCTGAGGTGTTCCTTGGTTGGCTCTGCCTCCTTGTTGGGAATCCTTTCAAGCTTTAGGGATGGATTTGGAGGAGAGAAAGCATTACCTCGGAAACTGGTTAGAAAAACAGGTAAGGCTTTGAGGTCTCCAGCAAAGTTCTAATCAATGGGTCAGACACTATTAAATTAAACCATTTATATGGATTAGTGAATTCCTGAGCTGCCACTAAATGCATAGGACATGAACATAGGATGCAGACAAGAAGTCAGTCCTTGCTGGACACCAAGCCAGGATACCTTTCCAGGCTCATGAGACTTTGAGCACTTGTCTCTGAGCACTTGATTCATTTCCAAAGGTCAGACTTAGAAAGTAAAGCTTGATTTTGAGTTCTGGCAGCCAGCCTCAAGTTGGTTAGGTGCATATTTGGAATGAGTTTACTTTGTTCTAATTATTGTGCTCAACTCTGTTGATTTTGACTTTCTTTTCTTGCTGAATAGCATCCTAAAGTGACATATTAGGCCAGATTGGAAATGTCCTGCTCATTTCTAGCTCAACAAAAAGCAAACCCATCCAGTTTAAAAATCTTATCTTCTACCTGACTTAAATCTTACAGCTCTGATGACTTGTTGTGTTACCTTTGAGACTTTTTGTCGTTATCTTCCTCTTCTTTCTAGTTCCACATATATATATATATATATATATATATATATATATATTAATGCTGGTAAACAGAGAGGGGAAAGATACTAGTGTCTTTTCCTTATCTGGCTGCTGTGTGGCTTTGTCATTGTTACTGCCAGTCTGGACACCACTGTCTAGCCACTGAAGACCTCTGTGCAACAGGTGTCCAAAGGCCAGCTCTCTGGATGTGCACAGGTATTTGGGATGACCCTTTGTGGAAGGTGTGTGTGTGGGGCCTTGGTGTCTCCTTATCATACACTTGTCCTTGGAGGACACCTGCCTTTGGTTTAGACTCAACTTCTTTGAATGCATCTTCCCTGGCAGTCAGCAGCCTTCCTGGTTCCGGTACTGGCAAGACAGCTTAAGTCCAACTTCTCACTGTTGTGTCCACATGACCCTAAGGAACACACACTTTTTGCCACTCTAAGTGGAGGATGTTCAGGCCCTCCATGGTGTCTTCTCTGTCCTGCTTTTTCTTGCCAGTTTTCTTCCCCTGGTTCTATAGGAATAGTGAGGGAGATCTCTAAGTTCTTTGCATAAGCAGACATCCTTGGGGAATGAGATTATGGTCTCCTCTTCTCAAATTGCCCCATCTCTCCAAATGATTTCCTGGGAGCCTCCCTCTTCAGTGGGGGCGTGACTGCATTCCACTTAGGTTTCTGCACCACCCTCTGTGCCAATAATTCAGGGCTGCTCCCATAGTTTCTTTCCTCTGTCCAATCCAGTTTATAAGCTAAAAGAAGTGGTGAGGTTGGGGATTGGGATGGGGCTGCATTAATGACTTGGGAATACTAGGTCAAGTTTGGTTGCTTTCTAACGAGCTTTGACAC